GTGAGAAGCCATCATACCTCAACTCCAAACGCTAAGACCGAGCTAACTCCACTCCGACCGTGATGATTGTCATTCCATTTGAACCGTGCTAACACTTCGGTCCACTTGCCAAGCCCTTTTTCTACCGCGGCCCATAAAACGGCCCATTACTCAACTCGGTCCAATTTACTTATAAATCACCCTCTGACATATCTAATTTAGCAAAATACAGAAGCCTCATCAACTTATCAAGTATATAAACAAGGAAATTGGGTACCTTGAGACTAAAAAAATATTATCAAAAACCAGAAAAATAATTGTAAATAAATGAGAAAAATTAGATGTGGGCACTTGGAAATTGTGACCCAAATTGAAAGACGATCAGCCATCAAGCACATAAATGCAGGGTCGAAGATTTTCCCAACGTGACAACTTTGTATGACCCAATTTTCTCATACGCACGCACGCATGCACTATCACTGCGTAACACGTACTCTCTCTGCTGATAAAAATTCATTAATGCTTACAAAAATATATTTTTTCCAACTTTTTATGGCTATTATGTGAGACATTTGGTCATTTATTTGATAGAAAATTTGTCTTGTATCCCACAAAATTGCCCAACAAAATTCCCCCCTCTAAAATTGAAAAGTCCGCAATTTTGTGGGCCCCACACCCATGTGAGACATTTGGTCATTTATTTGGTAGAAAATTTGGGACCTCTAGCATTTTCCATTCTTCTTAGAGTAATTAGCGGTATACTTTGGGCCTTGTGCTATTTTGGTCTTGACTTTTCAATTATGACACATTTGATTTTAAATTTTGAATCTTATTTTAAATAAAGATAATTGAAGATATCATTAGATTTTTTAAAGATAAAATCGTCAATTTGATAAAATATACATTAATTTGACAAAAATATATGTCAAACAAATATTTTTAAATTTTTAAAAATTATTTCTACCTACTAAAAATAAAATTATGTAAAATTGATAAATCTTTTAAATATTTATTTATTTATTTTACCAAATTAATTTTTATTATGTGTTATGATGATCATGTAAACTTAATTTTAAAAAATTAATCATGTAATTTTTATTAGTAATTTTTATCAATTTTACATAATTTTATCATTGGTGGATAAAAATAATTTTTTAAAAATTAAAAATATTTTTTTGACATTTATTTTTGTCGAATTAGTTTATATTATATTAAATTGACGATTTTGCCCTTGAAATTAAACAATGGTATCTTCAATTGTCCTTATTGGGAACAAAATTCAAAATTCATGATCAAATGTGTCACAATTAAAAAATCAAGGACCAAAGTAACATGAATTTCAAACTATAGAGACTATTTGTATAATTTGCCCTTAAAAAAATTAGTGGAATAAATTTTTTTAACCAATAAGTTGGCTTAGTAGCCGATGCCAAATAAAATTGAAATCTTATATTTCATTTAAATAAAGTTTAAAACATTTTTTTTTTCATTTTTTCAAAATATTTTTGTTTATAAATCATTATTTTCTTGAAATATAAGGCCAGATTTGATAACATTTACAATTTATTTGTAAAATTCGGAATTTTGTAGATTTTCTTTGTGCACATAAAGATACTAGTGGTTGGGCACGTTTGTTATACGTGGCACGTGATTATTCATCAACTGTTAGTAATATAATTATGCATGTCTCTGAAATTAGTATGTGATATGTATACAAAGTGCCTGTTTGGTGCAGCTTAAAAGCTGCTTATTTCAGCTTTCAACTTAATTTAAACTATTTTGATGTGTTTAGTTTAGCTTAACAATGCAGTTTATAACTTTTTATAAGTCAGAAATCAGCTTATTCTTTGAGTGGGGTAGGAGATGCTTAATTTATAAATCAGAAATTAGCTTATTTTCATAGTTATAAGTTATAAGCTGTTAAGGTATAAGCTATAAGCACTTTCCCACAGCTCTACCAAACAGGGCCAATGTATGAAGACTTGTATGGGCAAATTGATCTGTATTCAAAATATAAATAAGTAAGAAATGAATTTATACTCAACTGAAGAATTTAAATAATAAATGAGAAATTTTATAAATGTAAAATATGTGCATGAGGTACATTATTTTTCTTAAACTTCACAACAGGTAGGACAATTCCTGCTTCAACTCATCTAACTTTGCTTGGAGAACATGTTTTAATAGATCTTCTGTAGTTTTTGTTTCACCATCTTCTTGTTTTTCTTCTTGCTCACCATTATAACTCATTGTAATATATAAAATAAAAAAATTGAGTAAGAGTTTGAGACGATATCATATTATTATGAATTTCAAAATTCATTTTTCTTCAATAATGTGATTTTTTTTTGTGGGGAAAAAAAAATACAATTATTGTCATAATGGAGATGTTTTGCAAAGTCTTGGTTTGTTATTGAAAATGTTTGTTATGGACACTTGTTTGTATGACATATATGTATTGAATATAAGTTGATAGGAAAACAATACACTTAGAGAAAATTTACATTGACATAAAAGTTTCCTTTTTCTTTGCTGATCAAAAAAAGACATATATAGATAGGTACAGTAACATATATAAATTTACATTTATATTTTTTTATATATATTTGTATATGTTGACATTGACATATATAAGATATCACAAAAATATTATGTGAAATCTTTTGTAACAATATAATACAGCGTAACGGTGAGAAATTAATTATTCATAATTAAATAGCTCGTCATAATGTAAATGTTTAGTATTACATTTTTGTGTGTTCACACAATTTTTTAATTAGATTGTTAAATTCACATAAAAATTAAAAAGAATTCGCGAATAATTTGTATAGAATTAGAGATCAATAAAGAAAGATTATTGAAAAATAGAAGTTTTTAATGTTTAGTTTGGTTTGTTCTGTCAGACTTTTGTTCTAAATTTTTTGATTTTCATATTTTTTGTCTCTGACTCTTTTTTCTCTTTTTTTAATAATCATTTTATTTTCTTTTTAGATTCACTTAATTTAGTACTTTTTTATTTTTTAATTTTACTTTTAAATTTAGATTCACTTAATCTAAATATACTTAGAAAATAATTTGTTATATATTTTTTTTGAAAAAAAAAATTATTAATATTAAATAATAATAATAACAAAAATATATAATAATAAAAAAATCAGTACATGTTTGAATTTATAAAATAAAAAAAAAATTAGTAGTACTTTACTTTTTAATTCTATTTAGATTATTAGCTATTAGATTTTCATATAAAAGTATAATTTAAATATAAAATATGAAAAAAAATTAGTATCTTTAATTACCAAAATTGGGAAAATATGAAAAACCAAAAATTGAAAAACAGATTTAAAAAATAAAACCAATGAAAATGGTTCTGGTTTACAATTTTGACATTATACCTTGGTTATTAAAGTACAATGTAAAATTACAGTTCATAAAATATAATTTAAACAAAAAGAAAGTATATAAAGATAACCTTTGAATTTTTGAGACGCAACACAAATCTCTATTTTAAAAACGCATGCACTTTCCTCTGTCTAGATTCGAACGAATGTATATAATTTTAAAATTCAACCAAAATTATTCTCAATGATTTGATCCATAATGAAGAATTATATTATGTATATAAGTATAGAAGCAGACACAGAAAATAAGAAAGAGTAATTATTTTTTGTTCTTCAATCATTATCAATATAAAAAATAAGGAGATAGCTTTTTTTTTTTTTTGGATAAGAAGAGAGACGGTTTATTAATATTTATATAAGACTCTTAGAAACAGGTATATAATTTTTGAGTGTTCAACTCTAATAATAAAGAGATAATTGGTTTATGTAGAACTATTCATAACTTAAATATATTTGAGAGGATAAAATTGAGATTTAAAAAAAATAAAAAAACGTGTAAGTTCTTTAGACTTTTATAATAGTAGTAAAATTAGAAAATAAATAATATGTCCTTGAGATAAGTTTTTTAGGATAGAGTTCACGTTTTGAATTATATCATACATTAAATTTTTAAAAAAAATTGTATAAATATAATATTAAATGATTTAAATGGAGACAATAGAGTTATTAAATTTACTTTTTTTTTTACAGTAATGATAGAGACACCCACAAAACACAACCACCACAACACCAAAATAATCTGAATCATTCATGTCATTGTCAGACACAACTTCCAAAAAAAATTCAAACACATCAATGGTCAATACATCAATAGAGGTCATGAGATCCTCTTTTCTAGAGATCCCAAACATTTTTCCTTTTTTTACCCTTCATTTAACATTACTTTAAAATTATAATAATGTTAAATGACAAAATTCTCCTCCTCTCCAATTCTCTTCTACATCAAATTATTTTTATTTTTATTTATTTTTTTATTTTTTTATTTTTATTTTTTTTGTTTACAACAAACCACAGAGGAGACCCAAAATGCCCACCGAATGCCACCACCAACTTCTCCTTCAACCACCACAAGCCACCCACCATTCTTTCCCTTCCAACACTGCAAGTCAATCACCATTTTACCTTTTTACCACCAAAAGCCACCACTATTTTTCTCTTTCACCACCAACGTCTCTTACCACCGCACAGCATGCCACACCCTCTCTCATACTCGTTCTTGAATACTGTTTCAAAAAACTCTAAAACCAAATATATCTACAATACATAAACACCATATTGATGAAATACCAAAATACAAAGCAAGTTCAAAGCACTGTAAGCCCACCATGAACCAATCCCACTAAGGCTCTGTTTGTTTAGACAGAAAACGTTTTTTGAAAAATATTTTCTATATTTTTTGGTGCTTGGTATAATGGAAACGAAAATCAACAGAAATCATTCTTCATGTCCAACAAAAACAAGTCTACATAGGCAAAAAATATTTTTCACTTTTAAAAGGCAAAAAATGTTTTTTGTACTAAAGTCATCACCACACTACCATCGCCACTCTCACCTCTACCACCACCTCCATCTCCATCTTCATTTCACCACCACTAGCACCACCACCACCAAACATAGAAAAATGTTTTCCGCCCAAATGGAGCGTAACTTCACTTTTGCTTTTCTGAATTTCATTTAATAAAAATAAACAAGAAGAAAGTTTTTATGAGAGGGTAGTCTTCCACTCTCTTGACATTACGATTGTACATACAAAACCCCGAGTAAAACAAAATCAATGAATTTAGATAAATAGAGGGAATGGATGACAACAATTTCTCCCGAGTTCTTTATCTTCTTCAGAGTAGCAAATCCTTCTAGTTGAAGAACTTTCGACAAATAATTTTGCTGACTCTGGTAGATAATATCAACCATGGTATAATCCCGACCTGCATTGGCATTATAACACCTTATCAGAACCCTAATGCAGAAAAATCATCATGCTGATTTCTTATGATTTGTGCATGTAGAAACTATCAAGCTAATAATGTCCTAGAATTACTTGAGCTGCACATTATTTTATTTGCTTCAGATGACTGGAAAGAAAAAAAATAATCTTCAGGACTGGACATGTGCACTTCTGTTCTATGCATTTACACTGGTAGCATATGCAAAAAGTTGGCTAAGAATCATAAAACATCTCAACCATGCTACGTATCGAATACATGAAACATTAACGAGTACAGCTGATAGAAATCTAAACATCTCAGCTAAAGTTTTTTTTTAATAGAAGGAAAAAAACAAAACTATTAAAGGAGTACAATAGGACTAAAATGCACAACATTTACATGTAAGAAAATGAGTTGGATGAGTGATGTTACACAAAAAAGAAATAATAAGAAATGAATGCATCAAAGATAAGTTAAACAGTGGTTACCAAACAAAGATAAAATACAGAAAATAATTGATATTTTATGCCCATGCACATAGGGGACCAACTGACACACCGATAAGGTGTGATTTGACCCACATTGAGGGTGTAAAAAGAAATAGAGGAAAGCCAAAGAGGACATACGTCAAGATAATAAGAAAGAAATGACACATTGGCTTTAGACTTCACTAAGACATGATAACATTGATTCATATAGCTCAACCCAAGTAATTGAAACAAAGATTTGTTGAATTGAGTTGAAGTGTGTTGGTTTGTGTGTGAATGCACGTTTGCTTTTTTGATTTTTGTTTTTTGTTTTTTGTTTTTTGACAAAATGGGTTTATAAAACATTTATCTAGTGATAAAACAAAAAATGAGAAGAGTCAGAAAACTGTAACTAGTTCATTACCATGACATTGTCGCTCAAAGGACTCCCTGCTCTCCAAGATAACACCTTCCCTGCAAAAGGACAATTGTACTGAATCAAGACACTACGGCAACCTTTCAAATATTTCTATTTCTTCAAACACTGATGAATAATCATGCCTGCTGATGGGCTTAGCTTAAAGTGTGTCATCCATGAGAAATTTGTTAATCAGAGTAAGAAATGCAGCATCACAACAAGGTGGCTAGTATACGAACTTCAGAGTCGATGGAGAAGTTGTACACACAGAAGGTAAACAGGAAACAAAATATGAATTTAAATATTAGTGACAGGTATGCATTACCAAAGGGCTCCACAAGTTGCTTAGATATAGCAGCCACGGGGATCCGCCAAAACCAGCAAATCAGCGAAAAATATGTAAAAATCTGTTTGGTAACCATGCAAGTAAACACTTCAGAACTTTGTTGAGTGAAACATACAAATATTTACACATCAAGTTGTTCCCAAGATCACCTTTAATATTGTGAGACCCTTCAAATAGGCATCATATGACAATTTCATCTCCTTCTTGTGCAATTCTTGAACTGCAAGTTACTTAATGGTGTGTGTTAGCTTCCATCCATATGAGGCAAAACAAATCCAAATTGCGAAAGCAATTACAAAACAGCAGTAAATACAAAATACAACAGGAAGAAAACACAGAAAGATCAAGGCACAGACAGAAAGGCTAATAACTTCAACATAGCATGCAAAGCCTAACCATTTTGAAGCATAAACATGTACATCTCATATGGTACCTATCTTTCAAGCTGATAAGCTGATATAAGATAAGTCAGCTTAAAATCTAGATACATTTGAAGGATGATAAACTTTTAAAAGGCAGCAACTTATGACACAATTAAAGCTTGGCATATGAGAAACATAAAAACTAAGAATCAGCCAATAAGGGTACCTGTCAGAAGCAAGAAGTCAAGTTTCAATGCAACATATTAATGAACTGAGACACACTCAAAAAACTGCTAAACCCATTGATTTTGTGGTGCCCCAGATCCAAGAGCCAAGACTCCTCTTGAGGCTTGGGGCCAAGATGGATGAGGTGAGATGAAGGTACAAAATCCATATATTTTGATTTTTGTCCCAGATCATGTGGTAAAATGTGTGTGAAGTGTCTTAAAGTTTGAGCTTTGGACCTTCATTGAGCAGACAATATTGAACAATACAGGGTCAGGGCATTACAAATCATATCAGTTCATCAAAACTAATACCAGTTAATAGACCACGTAAGCCAGACCTAAACTATTTACACACTCAAAACACTCAATGAGAACCCGTCAACCCATTATGAAAAGGACAGTGTACACTCTATGCATTGGCAGAGGTTGCCTTGCATAACCACCACCACCAAACAAAATGGTGAAGAACCCCAAAGGGCTAAATGTTTTCACAAACTAAAAGGGCATTCTCCCCCCCCCCCCCCCCCAAAAAAAAAAAAAAATTTCAATTTTTAATGTTATTAGTTAGATATGGAAAACAAATTTGCAATTTTCGATAGCATGTCATTTTGTTTCTAATCTCCACACTAGTAAAAAATAAAGAGTGAAACTCCAAGTAGAATATGATGCACTCACAAGGAATAAGATAGCCCCCAAAAATTTAACTAGTAATATTAGTTCATCTCACCAAGAATCGAATATAGTAGCATTTAACTAGCTCTGATCTTCACATTGGGTGTGTAATGCGAGAGCGGATAAGGTCCACCACGCTGAAGGTTACACTAGCCCTGTTGGGGTGTGTGGTGAGTTTGACCAGTAGCGAAACCCTTACTGGGTATTCTTCACTTTTGTGAAATATGCCTTTCTTTCTTTTATTAGTAAATAAGTCTTCCCTTCATTTTCAAGGAAAACTATAAATAATAGCACACTTTCTCTAAACTTTTGTCTAAACAACAGCTAGCCTGCTTCAATAGTCATACCTTGATAGTTGATTAATATATATATACATATACATATATATTGTAATAAAAATAAGGATAAAATTGAGAAGCAAGAGACCTGCATAATTATGCAAAGTTCTTATAGGGAACTAAGAGCATCCACAATGGATGTGTCAAAAATGTATGTTGAAGTGTGTATTATATGACAAAAAGTGATAAGAGTGATTCAGAAGCAAGAGACCTGCATAATTATCCAAAAATGTGTGTTAAGGGTTCGCTAATTTAGTGATTGAATAGTGAGTGAATGGTGATACAATGGATGTGTTAAGGTGTGTGTTAAAATGTGTGTTAAATATATATATATATATAAATAATAAATAAAATATAAAATAATTGAAAAGTGCAGTGGGCCCCACCCCACTGCACTGTCAGTGCACCTCTTTCTCTTCCTGTCAGTGCACCTTTGGTAAGATGTGTGGTAATAAGCCGGCCGGCCATAAAATCATCTGACCGGCCAAAAGAAACTCTGCATTTTTTTTTTTCCCCCTGAAGGTCCAGACATTCGGGGGGACAATCGGCCTGATGACCCACGGCACTTCCCTCTCTCCCTTGCTGGCTAGAACGTTGGCTGCAGTTAACACATATTTTAGCATCTGACACTAACATTGAGCACTAACATTGCCCTTAGCAGTTCCATTGCAGCACCAAACAACACACTTGGCTGGCCAAAACTTGACATTTGACACTAACAGCATCCTTAGTGTGTCCATTGTGGATGCTCTAAATAAGGGCATTTGACTATTGGAGTATTTTTTATTTTTATCTTTTTTCTTCAAAAAGAAAGTTCTTTTACCTTTTTCAAACCTTTAGACTAATGCAATATATTACATTTAGGTATAACATTGAGAGAAGCCTATTTCTTTTTTTTTTCTTTTTCTCTTTTTTTTTCTTTTTCTCTCACACACATCTACTGGGGGGGGAGGGGTTTGGAGGTTCTTGCATAGTACTTAATATCTTTACATTAAGACTGAGAATGAAATTTTAGGTCATAATCTATCTTGAAGAAATTCAAATCTTCAAATAAATACTGAGTTAAAATTTAGGAGTCCTCTCTTTGTTTTAATTTTAATTCAAGTTTCTATTTTGACTAATGCTAAATATCATTACTTTACATCAAAAAATTCATACCAATATTCGTTTGAAATAGCTAATTCTGTCACATTTCTGTATCACTTTGTTTTGGTCCCCCGTTGAAATTATCTTATCTGGATACCAAGCACAATTTGGACACTTGTCTGCTATGATGCACGGACACAGGACATGACACGGACAAGCGAACATGCAAATTTTCAAAAAATGAGAGATACGACACGCTGGGTACACGCTCAATATATATAATTTTATTTATTATATTAAAAATTATAAATATTATTTATTTATTTATTTATTTATTTAAATATCAAATATCATTCATAAATTAAATTTTTTCTATAAATAAAAATAATTTATTTAAGCAAATAATAATAACTAAAAAAATAGGAAAAAGGAAAAGAGGGAAAAAAAAGATTTTTGTTCAAATATATATATATATATATATTAGTAATTAGTATATAAATATATGTATATATATTAGTATATAATATACATCTATACATATTATTAGAAAAAAAAAAATTAATAGAGTAGAAAAAAGATAGCGAGAGTCATACACTAGAAGAGAGAGAGTTGGAACACCATAGCGAGAGAGAGAGAGAGACAAACACGGATGAATAGAAGTAACGAAGAAAGAAGAAGAAAAATGAAGAAAAACAAAAGATCAAAGAAGAGATTTGAAGAAACGAAGAACATGCCTGATTTAGGACTTCATTTCAACAGGTTTTTCTTCACCCTCCCCTCTCTCTCTCTCTCTCTCTCTCTTCAACAGGTTACGGTTTCTCTCCCTCTCTGTCCATAACGTGTCCAAGAGAGTGTCCCAAGAGTGTCCGGCTAGAAAAATTCAAAAAAAAAAAAAGGGACACCTTTGGTAGAGTGTCGGACATGTGTCCACCGCGTATCCATGTCCGACACGTGTCTGACACCCATATGTTGTCTCCGGAGAGGCGTCCGTGCTTCATAGGTTGTCTGTAGGCTTACCAGGAGAACTCACTAAGCCTTCAATGGAAGAAGAGGAAGGTCCCCAAAAAAAAAAAGAAATGCCTACATTTTTATGAGAAGATGCATGGAATACCACGTCATAACGATTTACCAATAATAGGAAGAATAATAGAAAAAAGCCCAACTAGTCAGGATAATGCCTTGTCAAGCGAGTTGAAAATTTCCCCTTGGATTATATTTGTTTTTCACAATGACACCCAGCATTCAAAACAAAATAATCTAAACATTTTTTAGGTTTAATATACACCTGCTTTACCTAACAACTGAATCCTTTTATAGTCCATATGACTTCAACAAATTCATGTTTCAAAACCTAATTCTACAAATCCTAAAACTAAATCCTATATCAATCTACAATTCCATTCCATTATCATTCATTGCCAATCTTCAAATGCCCTCAAATCTAGATTCTAAAACTATAAAATTGAAGAAGATCATTTAGATTGTCTAATGAGTCTTATCTTCCCAAACAACTTTCTACGTGCTACATAAATTACACACAAAATAAAACAGAACAAAATAAAAAGAAAAGAAAAGGAAAGGTTTCCTATAGAGCATTGTAAAACACTCATTAAAAAAATGCCATACTTTTTGCAAGGTCCTTCTCCTTAGCTAGTGCCATCCTCTTAAGTTTAGCCGCTTGTGCAAATGTTGAAGGCCTGTGATTAGAAAGTACATGAAACCCTTTAAGATCACATGTTCCATACAAGGTGCATTCCATTCATCATAAACACCAAAAAATACCCCTCTCTTGCTTGTGTCCTTGAGCAATAAAAGTTTGAACACAACATAGTGCATCATAAATTCAAAATCACGACAATTTATCATTCCATTCTATAAAGAGTTAAATTTTGAAAGCAAAGCAATGTTTCAATCCAAAATTCCTTTACATGGATGAAAATTAACTATACAATCATGAACTTATTTGTCTATCCAACATTCTTCAAAGCTTTAAGTAACAAGCAGTTGCTTTAACATTCATGCCAAAGGTTTTACAAGAACCGGGGAACAATCAAAAAATGATGAGGGATAAGGTGGCTGGGAAATCACCTAATGATTGTGAGATGAAAACATGTTCAATATTCTATGTGCTACCCCTTGGTATAAGACAGCTTACAACTCCGAAATCTAATGAGACCAAATGCAAAACTTCCATGTGATGCATTTTAATTAGGAGCAAAAGAAGTCAATCAGAACATCAGAATCACTCACTGTGACATGGAGCTCGCCTCCTTACACAATTGCTTAATTTCTGTGCGCAATTGGGCCTCCACACCAGACTTTGATCCTTTCTGAGAAAAAACAGATAACCAAAATACAAACCATTTTAACATAGCTTCCATTATGGTGCCAGTGAAGCATAAATAACCAGTAAAGATTTTAAATAAGAATAATGAAAATAAAAATAATAAAACAGTATTTGAAGAGGGGTCCTGCCAACCACTAACCAATAGGCGCTTGTTAAGGATCAAATAATGCTAAAAGGTTAGAACTCCAATACACAATTCACATATTCCCATACATTTTTATATGTTTCTACTTCCTATACACTTTTCACATATTTCAATACACTTTTTCCACACATACCAATCTTAATGGACACCCATTGGTGGTGTTAGCATTTCCCTTTGAATAAGGCACTGTTTGGCATCTCCTACAAAAATGTACTTTTTTATCTTTTTATCCTTTTTTACACATCTTTTCATAAAAAATCGAAAAGAATACTGATTTAGATTATCCTAAACACCCTCTAAATAACCTGATAAGTGATAATATAGAATCATTGCACTTTTGTGAATAGATGTTGTTGTATTCTCATAATTGCATTGTAAATGAGAATTGAGATTATGTCAAATATATACATATATATATATAGAGAGAGAGAGAGAGAAAGGTAAAAACCCCAATAATTTATTATTAGTAACATTCTTAGCAATCCGTTACGATAAATTTCATTTGTTATTTTCACCTCATGGCTCCTCCGTGGATCCACCCAACAAAAACCATGGACACATGTAAAACACACCATACCCAAAAAATAATGGTCTGCAAGTATAATTCAAACACCCAAGCCTATTTTTATCCAATATGGGATGATCGTAACATACCACCACGCTCTGTGGCCGACACTCATGATAGCCCACTCTATCGAACTGTACCCATACACCCGAAGCCGACATCCACGGTAGCCCAATCTATTGAACTATACCCATACACAATACTAAGGTGTCTCAATCCAACCTATAGGTCACCCCCTCCCTGGCTCAAACCACAAAGCCACATCTCTTACAATCACATACTTGCATAGGTTGCATCCAATCATATACCCAATTTGGTGGCTGGCTCTGATACCAAATGATACAATCTACTTCGATAGAACTCACCCTTGAAAAAATACTCTAAGCCCATTGTTAACCCATGTGGGATTGTAAACATGTATACATATGTTTGTGTGTGTGTGTGTGTATATCTATACCTATCTATAAAAGCAAGAAAACCTGTGCCTAACACTAGTGTGTCTAACTCAGATGAAATGGCCAATTCACCCTCTTTGAAGATTGCTGAGCACGCTCTCCACCAGTTGGGGCTTCTCCAACAAGCTCTGAGTTGATTTCAGCTTCTCCAGCAAGTTGTTCATCACCTCTTGCCACTTGTGTTGCTGCAGCTTCTCACCCTGGGTTCCACAAGTTCTGCGGTCTTAAGAGGTGTAAACTGTTTCCTTGCGTTGGTGCAAATTACTCTGTGTTTTGTGAACGAAACAGAAGAGTATGAGATTCTTCAATTTCCATTTTTGAGTTGCTGTGAAATCCATTTCTTTCTTCTATTGTCCTATGTTTGCTCATTTTTAGATATCTGTTATGAGCTTATTTAGTGCCTGTATTGAATTTAATTTCTTCTTGCTCAAATTGACTGTTCATGAGTTTGTGAATTAGGATAAACTTCTTCTTTTTTTACATTTGTTAAAATTTCTGCACACCAAGTGTTTGATTCTATTTTCAAGTGAGAAATTCATCTGCAACAAGTGTTGGGTTTCTCACAACATAACACATACACCCTTATCATTTGTGCACAATCAGACAACCAGGTTTGGGAATTTCTATATTACACTGTGCCTGTCTTCGTTTTTCAGCATCACTGTTGGCATGTTTGAGAAATACCAATAAGTATGCCAGAAATTTAATTTAATGGTATTATTGTTTTCTTGAAATCTACTGTTTCTGGTTGATCTGCCTAATATGGTGTTTGGATACACGTCTATGCTTTAATTGAAGGGTTGTATAATCTATGATGCTTAGTGTATGCTTTTGTTGGTTTTTGGGTCAATGTTTACTTGTTAAACTATTGCTATTCTGTCAGTTTGAAATTTTGCATAAATAAGCTCATTCCCTAAGCTTTCACGCCGTTTGTTGGGAAGAGCATGTTAATAAAAACAAAGTAAATTTAGTATTTGGCTGATTAAGTTCTGTTAAATATGAGTTCTTGAAATCTACTGTTTCTGGTTGATCTGCCTAATATGGTGTTTGGATACACGTCTATGCTTTAATTGAAGGGTTGTATAATCTATGATGCTTAGTGTATGCTTTTGTTGGTTTTTGGGTCAATGTTTACTTGTTAAACTATTGCTATTCTGTCAGTTCGAAATTTTGCATAAATAAGCTCATTCCCTAAGCTTTCACGCCGTTTGTTGGGAAGAGCATGTTAATAAAAACAAAGTAAATTCAGTATTTGGCTGGTTAAGTTCTGTTAAATATGAGTTCTGCCTTGTACTATAAGTGGCCTGCAAAATCTGATTGCCTTGAATGTGGTTGGCCACAGTTTAACAACATTTAGAAGTACATTGTCTGTAGATAGAATTTCCTACAACATGAGACATCGAAAAGAGTTGCATTCAGATAGAACTCCACTACCACTTTGATTTCACTGACAACTCTCTCATCCCAAACTATAACAACACCCCATGATCTACCAGATGAAGATAAAGTAGCCCAGTTCCTATGTCTAGGCCTCCAAATGCTCTTTATGAATTTATTATCAAATTTACAAAATTTAGGGTATGTTTGGTTTGGATTTGTAGAGTGATTTTGAGAAAAAATTTCTAAAAAATTTGTTTGGTTTCTAAATTTTCCAAAACAATTTCCAAAATCACTTTCTCTCTCGTACCTATCAATCAATCACTTTTTCTCTCTCCTCTCTCCTTCTCAATCACTTTTTCTCTCACACACATCTACTCAATTATAACAAAATATCAAATCATTCCAAACTCCAAAACTACTTTCAAAATACACAACCAAACAAACCAAAAAAGTTTCTAAACTCTCTCCCCAAAACAATTTTTAAAAACTACTCTTCCAAAACCAAACCAAACATACCCTTAGTTTCTTGAAAGATTAGGATATCAACACTATTTCTGAGCAGAATTCCCTCGTACTTTTGGACCAAGAACTCTCACATTCCAATTTACAATCTTCATTAAGAACTAATTTTGACAATATTGCATATCAATATTGATTTGGTGTCTTCCTCCTCCAGTTGCACATGCACATTGTCTTCTCAAACTCCCAATCAAATTCTCATTGACCATTTCTGCACCAAAAGCTTTATTTGCCTCTACCATTCTATGGGTTGATGGGAGGATATAGTGTATAAAAATAGTAGTAGAATGGAAGAAAACATGGAACAAGACAAAATATAATTTTAAAATGTTGAAATTGTGGTGTGTTTGGATTGGAGCTTCTGTACTTTTCCTGCCATTACGAAGTTTCGTATCTCAAAGAAAACATAAATTAATAGATTTCTTTCTCATGAAAAGGGAAACCATTCCAGTTGTAACACCCCCAAACAACAACAACATTGCTTAGTTTCATCAACATTCCTTTTGCTTAGATATGGTCAATTTGTCATGTTGATGAAAGAGAGAGCTAGGTATGCAGACACAAACAGAATTGCTTTAAGAGTGACATGGAGACTCAAAGGTGTAATATTAGAATGATGTCAAGTCTCTGAAATGTCTGATATGTCATAATCTCAAACAAAGCAAAGAACAATTATACAAATATTCAAACACTCTACAAAAGCAACACCGTAACCATCCAGCTCAAACCTTGCGGGTAACTTCCAATGCTAACTTTCCCATACTTCTACAAGACCAAACAGGTAAAAATATATCTTCTTCTAATTTATCAAAAACAAAAAAATCTCTTCTTCTGGGTGTTCTGTTGACAATTTGCTTGAACAATGTACGTTTAAAATTTTTAATATGCTTTTTCCTTTTCTATAAGTGGAATGTGTTTGGATTTGTGGATTACTGGTCTCGTATTGGAAATTTCATAAGCTAGCGTCCAACCATAATGATAATCCTAATTTGGCAGCTTTGTACGCACCTTCCACTTTTTAATTTGGACTGTTGGCTCAGGGTGCACTGGCTCGGATGCTGTTGAGGTATGTTTTTTCTTCTCATGGGTCCATTGGATATCTGGAAAACTTCTTTGAAATTTATTCTGTTGATAATGATGGACTCCCCTTTTTTGAGTTCTTTTCTTCCTTATGGGTTGGGGGTTGGCAATAGTTTGCTTTCAAACTTGAGCATCGAAAGAGTAAAGGATGCAGTTATTTATGGTCCTTCTGAGTGGCAATTTTACAGGCATGCAAGATTCATCTGCACTGTCAATCAAACTTCATTTTGCATGCCTTATTATTTGGGAATGACTGGTTTAACAATCTTATAATTTGATTTTCATCTCTTCATGAAGCACTCTTAATGGTTGGTATGGAATTCATTTGGTCCATTACAAAGGTCGCCAAGGAGACTATTATATCCTTGTGAGTTTTCATATATTTTTCTTTCCGAAGTGTGTGGTTGGATTTTATTTTTTTTACTTATTGCTGCTGTTGTGGAAATCATTCATGATAACATTTGTGCTTGTTATATTGGGTTTTGTGAAAGCCGGGTTATGGATAAGCTAGAACCAATTTTATGGGATGTTTGGAACTCTAACAAGGAAATGTATGAATATAATGCCGGGAATGGCTTCCCTCCATACTCCATTTTTTGGGCTCCATTTTAGGTACACAATGATAATCTAAACCGTTTGTCTTACAAATCTCACAATAAAGACCATCTATGCAAAAGATCAGCTTTCGTCGGATATCGATGAATACATGAACAAATCACTTTTTATTTTATAAAATAAAAGGTTTAAGTTTAAACTCACAATTATGCCTCGTTTGAGAACAAACTATTTTAGTAACTTCTTATTTTTTGGCTAAAATATGAGATAAAAAAATTAATATGTTTCGAATGACTTTTTGATTTTTTACGAAAAGATGCATAAAAAGTAGAGAGAAAATATAATCTTACACTTTTTTGTATAGGTTATAGACTTTTTGATTTTTTTAGAAACTTTTTGACTTTTTGACTTTTTGGCTAAAAGTGTTGCATGCCAAACGAGGCCTTACAGTCCATTTTAGAAAACAATATGCAATTTATTCATGTATCTAGTGATATCCGAAAAAACTAATTTTTTGCATGATACATCTAAATTGTTGGGATTACGAGATGAACGGTTTAAGTTATCATTGTGAGCCTAAAATGGAACCCAAAAAATAAAGTATGAAGAAGTATAGAGAATAACAGTATGGAAGGGAGCCATGCCCTATAATGTCCTTCCTCATAATTTTTTGTTTGTGTGTTGATTTTTGTTATTTCTTATTGTTTTTTCTCTTTGTACAGGTTGTCTGAAGAGACGGTTTCTTGTATAGCAGTAGAGGCAATATCAATCCTACAATAGCTTCACTTTAAGGGGTACTTATCTCTCTTTCTTTTATGAATATTACATATACATGTATTACAAACATTTTCATAGATTTTTTTTCTCAGTTTTGTGCATGGAGGTGTAAAGCCATAAACCTTTTTGCTTGGTCAGCCTGGAACGCCTGATGCAAACGAGTTGTACTTGATTGATCTTGGTTTGGGTATGTCTTCTTTTTCAGAAATAAGTTTCAGATACACAGGATTCATAAAATTGAAACATGCTTTTGTAGTTTTGTGGTTTTAAATTTGGAGTTTAAGTTCTAACTGTTGTCTACCTCAGCTCCAAGATGGAAGGATACATCTTCTGGTCATCATGTTGATTATGACCGAAAGCCTCATGTTTTCAGGTAACTCTCAAAATGGGGTGATCTCTTTTGCACTTAGACCAGCATGATATTATTTTTTGACCGAATGTAAGTAGAATTTTCATTGTAATTTTGCAATGATTGCGATGCTTATTACAATGTCAAGTGATCACTTCAGATAAAGGTTTGGCTTTCGTTTGTTGGAATCTTAGATAATGAAGAATTTTTAGTCTTCTACTATTAATTTTTGTTCGGTGGGATATATTTCTATTAAACAAGGGTTACAATATTTATAGAAACTGTGAAGATTGAAACCCATTTACATGAACCTCAATGCAACGGTGGTATCATTGTCCAATAACTAAACACTATATAGAATGGTGAACCGCACAAACGTGTGGTAATTATTGTTATATAGGTTGCAGTTGGTTATATGCTGATTAATTTCTTTTATTTTTTTTCATCAAAATGCTTTCTAGCTATGGGGCTTTCGAATAATTCATTAGCTGCCCCCAACAGCAAATGAACCAACCTGGAACGTGATTAATGAAAGTTGCATGATCATTTGATTTGAGGCCATTTGGTTTGGCTTATTAACTTGGCCCAAATCTTGTTAAAGTGAGATGGCATGGACAATTTCTGGATATCAAGATTCCCTATCACCATGCTATGATGTGTTTTATCAATCCCTTGGCGTCCATTCGATGCATTTGCTTTGGTTATTTCGTATCCCCCTTTATTTGTCGTATGATTTTGCTTACTATACCAGTTGCTGTAGCATCGCGAGGGATGTTAGATAGCTTAGCGTTCAGCTACTGGTTCTGTATGAATTACATGGTGACATTTATAGTAAATTGAAATGGAAATTAGACAAATTTTATATAACAACGTGATTGCATACCCAAAATATATTGAAAAACAACGAGTAGTGGCCAAGCCCTAAATTACGGAATGAATGAATAGGAAAAAGGCAAGAGCAAAGATAAAGGAACCTTTTTCTTCTGTTCTATAAATCTGGAAATGAATTGGAATGCGACAACGATGGTGAAGATTATTGGAGCAGCTAGAGATCTTCCATGTTCTTCAATGGTTTCATCCATTGCTCCCTTGGTCTTGTTCGATTACGTGTTTCTGATGCAAATTTGATGCTTTCGCATCCCCAAATCTCTCTATTGCTTCTTTTGCGGATGTTTTTACCGGTGTGGTTAAGGTAGGGTTTCTTTATTTTTATTTTTATTTTTATTTTTTTTCCCTCTATTATTTTTTCTTTTATATTTTGTTTCAGAATTTGATGGACTTGTATCGCTCTCAATTTTTTTAAATTTTTTTTATTAATTGAAATGGCATCATGCTAGGTGTTCGCGTATCGGTTTTGTGCGGTTTACGATTCGGTTTTGACCCGCTCGCATTTATGTGGTTTGGAAAAAAGTCAACCCGCAACCGTCAGCAGTGCGGTTTGTGGTTTATGCAGATAGGGTTTGCAGATGTACGGGCGGTTGTAGGCGGTTTGCGGTTTACACTTTTTTCTTTAAAATTTAATTTTTGAGTTTTTTTCCCCATCGAATTTAGGCATCAGATTCATTTTATATATTTGTGATTATTTAACAACAATTTTCTGATGAGTTTACAAATAAAAATTGAATATCAATGCATTAAATGAAAGTACCTAAAACAAAGAGACCCTACACTAGCATTTTTGCCATGAAAAAAATGTATATCGATGCATTAAAAAATATATATCAATGCATTAAAGGTTGTACGCAATTAGAATTGTCAGTTCAGTAATCAATAATCAAACTAGAAACTTCATCGACTACCAGAAGGAAAATTTTATTAGAAAAAAGTGGATGAGTCACCAATGAAAATATATAAGAAATCAAGTTTAGGACTTGATAATTCTACAGCATTAAGAAAGTTGAGAAATACTTAAAAATAAGAATCCTAGTGTCATAGAGAACATAATGGGGATCCTGTTAAAGTTACAAAGTTGGTATATAAAAAAATAATAATAATAACAATAATAATAATTAAAGTGCGGGCGGTTTTTGCGGGTTGCGGGTTTAAACCGCGACCCGCCCGCAACCCGCAAATTTGTCATATTTCAAACCGTATCCGCCCGCATTATATTTGTGAAACCGCCCATTTATATGCGGGTTGGGCGGTTTGAGCGGTTCGGATAAACCGTTGCCCACCCCTACATCATGCTTGTCATTATTACTTGTGTTAACCCCTGCGCTGTACCAAAAAAATATAATATATATTTTTTATGATAAATAAATTATTTTAATTTTAAATTATGTTTTAATTACGATAAGTCATGATGTTATGCCATCATGATAGATAATAATAATAATTAACTCACAAAATTTCGTAATAAAATTTAATATGCATAAAAAATTATTAATTATGAAAATTGTTTGGGATAATAGTATCACAATCACTTAATAACATAAATAATTTGTATCAAACTATAGTGTTAAGCGAATATATAAAATTTAAAAAAAAAAAACATTGAAAGAAATAAACTCTATAAACTCAAAATAGTGATCATAAATTTACTTAGACTTTTAAATCAATGGTATGTATTTAAACTTATTGTTGTGCGACCAAATTATAAATAAATCTCAACCTTTAATTATAATTTGTAAGTAGTTTTTTGAATTTTTTAATATGAGTTTGCTACCTTGCTCATAGAAAAAAAACTTCTCAAACAAATGAATAAATTATCAATTGATCCTGTTAGTAACTCCCCATCTTTGATCTCCTCTATCAATGACACATGCATATCATATGAGTATAATTCATTCTCCATAATCATTTTCTTCATTGCTTGAATAATAATTGCATAGTTCTAACAATATTTAAGGGGAAAAAAAAATCAAAATAAGAACTTAGTAGGATTATAAAATTTATAGTTTTAATCCATTTTATTTATGAAAACAAATGGTGACAAACGATTTAAATTGTATTTGAAGAAATATAGTAAATGATAGCTTTAATCATTATATACTAACAAATAAATTATATTGGATACTCAACAAAACAATGGTCGAATGCAACTAAAGTCATGGACATTAAACTAAATCATATGAGCTCTAAATTGATAGTATAATCTAGAAAATCAACTAATAATAATAAAGAGAGATCAACAAATATGTAGTACGTCCCTACCATCTCTATGTTCTATTCATTAATTTCATGTTATATGAAAGTATTACTCGTATGAATCTTTGAATAAAATAAGTATCAAGAAAACAAATTTGTTATGAAATTAATTCTAAACTCCATTATTAGAAAAACAAAATTTGTAAAGAGAGACTAAATTGAGATGGGATTGAAGAAATACTATTAAAAAAAAAAAAAAAAAAAACATAAACACACACACACATAGCAATGATCCAATGCAAACTATTTCAACAGTCAAAAGAAAAAATATCAAATTATTATCTTGAATAAATATAGTGATGAAAATTTATTTTGTAAGATTTTTGTACTGCCACCTCTCATATAGCCTTCCTCATCCAATTATTAATACTCTTCTTATTCTAAGCCAACATAGTATTCCTATTCATCTATATAAATTCATAACAAATTCTTAAATAATTTTCTAACAATATGGAATTACATTCTACTAATATAATTGCTTTGCACCCAAAAGTATGCAATCAACAACTAAAATATAGATAATCTAACCAAATCTAAGTACAATTTATTCAAAGCATGGAATGATTTGAACATAAAGGCACATATCAATAAAATCCTAAATCCTTTGAAAATATGGACATTCAAGGTGTTCTTGTGCGTTTTGTGCTTCTTCATCTTAAGAAATTAAACTATGGGAAGTTAAAGATAAAGGAGAAAAAAACCAAACAAAAGGGCTACGTATTGATTGGGGGGGGGGGAAATTATCTTTATCACTTAATCAATGATAACAAATAATAAAAATTATGAGCAAAAGATTAAGAATTTAGAAGGAGATACGAAGTTATAAATAAGAACAAATCATATCCTTATTTAAATTTCTTTATTTCAATTTTTTAAATTTTTAATATATGTGATAGAGGGAGAAAAAAAATAGGAGTAAATCCAAATAAAGATTTAGATAATCTTTTGGTAGATATAGATTAACAAATCATATTCTTATTTATATCCAAATTTCATTATTTCAATTTTTGAAATTTTTATTTGAATTTTTGTTATATTAAAAAATTAGAAATTAGGGAAATGAGGTGGGGAGACTTCAGAAACTGCCACGTAGGAGAGAGACCTTTGAGATATTAGTATTGAGATTTTGAAAAATTTTAAGAATACATTACATTTGCTTATTTGCTTATATATAGATACAGATATATAGATATATAGATATAGATATAGATGTTGGACAATCTTCACTGTATTTAAAAGATTTAATTCTATTGTGTACACAACAACAATTAGAATTTAAAGAAATAAAGAAAATAAGAGAATTTGTTTGATTACAAAAATCAAACTCGAAATAAAAATAACTAAATAAAAATAGATTTTATTTTGTTACAAAAACAAAATTTAAATCTGATTTTAATAAATAAAAAACAACACTGAAAATAAATTAAATAACTTACTTGATTTAGTTTCTTCGAATTAGTTTCTGATCAAGTCTAGTGTTTGACACTGTGTCCTTAAGACAGATTCGTCCTCTCCACGGTACTTTCAGAATTTGGACGTCTATCTCCCATGATGAAATGATCTACCACAAACAATAGCAGCACTGCAAATTGTTTGCCTTACGAACACACTAAGTGTTTACACTATTTCTTTTAGAAATAAAATGCAACAAAATGAATAATAGAATAAGCAGAGATGAAATACGAAATTTCTGAATGAAAAACATCAAACGAGGGTGGTCCTATTTATAGATGTAAAGGTGGCTCTTGGTTTTAAATTGAACAGGTATGATACCTGTTGATTTTGAATTCAAACAGATTTGAATCTGTTAATAATTCAAACAGATAGCAAAAAACGGGAAGGGCCCTGTTTGGGTGTGCACTAATTCCAAACTAGTTTATTTCTGTTTGAAAACGGGAAGGGCCCTCTTTGGATGTACAGAAAATCCAAATCAGTTTAATTTGAATTATGGATTTTATTTTACCAAAAATAAAATTAAATTCAAATATTTTTGGCCCAAAAAGATTAGTATTGGGCCGAACAAGCCCAACCACACACCATGTACCCGCGCCCAGACCCAGGCCCAGGCCCAGGCCCAGCCCAGCCCGCCTGACCGGACGGACGGATGGACGGCGGCAGCGCGCGCGCGTGTGTGGTGATTTTTTGGTCCAATGGGTCTATCCCATTTTGCCCATAACCTCTCCCTCTAAAACACTTGGGTACCCCTTGGGGCACACCCCAAGTACCAACCCCATGCCTTATAAACCCTTTCAAAACTTCCCACCAAATCAATGTGGGACAAACCAATTTACAACCTTAAGGAATTTCCACCAAAACTCCATTTCCATGGAGCACACTTTGGCTTCAATTTCTCATTCACTCGGTAATGGTTTTGAGCAACCAAATATACCACGTGAATCACAACGCAACATAGAACGCGTTACCACTTTGACCCAAGTAAATCGACACTCGGGGCCCACCTAAAAAATAGACCAAACTGGAGAAATAATTCTGATTTTATCCAGAATTTTTCTACCATTTCCAACAATCCCCCACATGAATGGAATTTGATGACAATGGAAATGTAACAATATGCAGACTTAACGAAAGAGTATAAGTCGAAAATATCTTGCATCAGGATAGGTAGCTTACGACCTTGAACCTTCCCTAGTGATAACCGATCGGACTTACTGGCTAACCAATGGACGCGATGCCTTGAATTGTTCAGCCGTTTGTGTAAGCCAAGACAACAGATTTCACACAAAATATCTTCTAACACATAGTGGTTCTCACTGTTGTGTTCATTTTGAAC